GTTCATTTTCCATGTGATGTAGGATTTTTCCTTCCTTCTTTTATCATTGATTTCCAGTTTCATTCCATTATGATCAGATAAAATGCATGGTATTTCCACTCCTTTATATTTACTGAGGGTTGCCCTATGGCATAATATATGGTCTATTTTTGAGAAGGATCCATGTGCTGCTCATATAAGATTCTTCATTAGCCTCCCACATTTTTGGAATAGCTCTTGAGTCTTTGCCTTGACCCTCAAATTCATGATTGATGTGGTTCTCAGTGAACCTCTAACTTCATGTCACATCCTTCTCTTTTCTGACAGTGCCCTAGTAACATGAATCTTATTTCTGTTCCTTGACACTACAGTAGCATGTTAGGCTTACTCTCATTTTACAGACTGAGCACTCACTCTGCCCTGTTCCAGAAATACTCCTTCTTCACCTTTCAGTGTGGATTGGTCCATCTCATCATTGGGTCTGGGCTCACATATCACCTACTCAGAAGGCCTGACATACTGCCTTTACTAAAGTGACTACCTACAAGCACTGTACATCTCATCATTTAATGTTTTTCCCTTTGAAATATTTATCACAGAGAAATATCTAACATTTATGTATCTGTTAACTTGTTTCTTGTCCATCTCTCCTACTGGAATGGCAAGCCCATAAACCCTGTCCTATTCAACACTAGGTCATAACTTGTTAGATATTAGTCATTTTATGTTAAACTCATAAATTTAGTCTCTTGGAAGTGTTAAGTTAAGGATCCATTGAGGGGCTGGTATATTCCATAACATGTACATGTGTGTGTGCATACATCTGTGCATGCATGTGTGTGGGGGAGGGTAGGAGGTGGTAGATTGATGTAGTAGTCCCAATAAACCAAATTTGACTATTATAAAGGTTTGTCCTTCACCAGTAGCTTCAGCCTCATGAATATTTAGCTTTATCCATTTTGAATTGATTTGAGGGAGCTATTCATTTTTTAAATATTTATTTATTTATTTAGGTGTAGATGGACACAACACAATGCCTTTATTTTTATGTGGTGCTGAGGATCGAACCCAGGTCCCACCTGTGGTAGGCAAGCGCTCTACCGCTGAGCCACAACCCCAGCCCTATGGGAGTTCTTCTTTTGATCTTTACATTCCACAACATGTGCATCTTCTCTGTGCCTTTGCACATCCTTGTTTCTCTAAAATTCCCTCTCTTGTCCCAGAACAAACAACATGACCTACATGAAGACTTAGTTGACTTCTCCAGAAAGAGATCGGGATCCTCCTTTAGTGCCCTGTTTTTTGGTCATCCTTCTATTATGGCATTTTAAAATGCTGCTTTAAAATATGTTTACATGACTTCCTCCCTGTTAGACTGGGAGCTTCCCCCAAACTAGGTTATCTCTGTATCCTCAGTTCTGGGAAGAATAAGCACTCAGCAAATATTACTGAATGTCAAATGAATAATCGAGCATATAATAATGATAGTATTGTGTCTGAAAGAAGAGAACTATGTCATATCAATACCTCTAGATAATGATATCCTAAGTAACATGTGATGAGTTGTTGATGGGTAGCTTAATACTGTTTTCCTCTTTCACCTTCTCCCTTGCATCTCAGGAGATGAAAGCCTAGAAATTACATGCCCCAGAATCCCTCCCTGAAGAGTTATATTCTACCTGGTACAGTTTGCCAATCAGAGGTATTACTCAAATTTAACACATGGAAATCGAAATGGAGCAGATTATACGCATGTATGAAAACATCAAAATGAACCCCGCTATTATTTGTTACTATAACATACTAACAAAATATCTTACATAATATGGAAATGACAAGCTGCTATTGTTCATGTATGACTGATAGAATAAAACATGAGCTTTAAAGTAGCTTCTGCATGTTCCTCTGTTATTTCCTGACTTTTGAGCTACAAAAAGCTGAAATAATCACTAATGTTTTAACATGATTCTAGTATCTCTGATTTTCTTAATTCTATTTTATGCCCTTGGCACTCTGAAGAATCTGCAAGCTTACAATACTTATATTAAGTTCTCTGATCATGCACTGATTTGCAAAAAAAAATTGATATGTATGGGGAAAAATTTTTGTGAAAAGAGGAGAATGGAAGAATTGATTCCAGAAATTTTAACAGACTTTCCATCTATTAATATTTACTGAGTTGGCTATATTTTTGCAACTGGAAAATCAACATCTACATTATCACAGATAATGATGCACATTAGGGATATGAATTCTGTAGGTCTTCCTCAGAAGTAGATTTTTCTAAAAAATGTTTCAATATGGTAACAATTAGCTAAACCGCCAAAATTAAGGGGCCAGAAAAAAAGCTGGCCAAATGCCTAGGAATAATTTTTACATTTTAAAAAGTGAAAAACATGGAGAGTCTTTTAGCTAAATCCTTTTCCTACACAAGCCTCACCAACAGGAAAGCTTGAAAAAGTCACAATTCTCAGACCTGGGGGCAGGGATTCTCCTGTTGAGTCACTGCTGTTGGTTCTGGTGTTCGATGCCTGAAGAACATGATTGTTTTGTTGTTTGGGAAATACAATTTTACTTCCTGGCCGTCTTCTTTCTAAGAAAACAAAAAGTAGCACTTTTTACCTTTGAGAAATTATCCCAGTCTCATTCCAGTTGGGGTGTTCTTAAAGACAACTATAGGACGTATGCCCTTCCTGATGGAATGCTGTGTTCCTGGATGCTCTGCCTCACTTGGGCCTAGAGGTGTACATAGTGTGGGTTTGGACAGTGCTATGGAGGTTTAATTAGAGATATCCACTATGCTAACATTTGGCATCTCCAGGGTTCTTTCAGGGCTTCTAGCCTAACTTGCAAGATGGAAAAAAAAAATATTTTCATGAGAATTACAAAAGGAAGCAAATTGGTCAGATAGAGCTCCTCCCCTCAAGAGGAGTCTTGGGAGCAGAACAGGCAATGTTCTATAGGGGGCTGTGCATGGAGAAGAGTGCAGGCTTTTGGTAAAGTGATGAAGCTTAAGCATAAGAGCAGGACAGTAGAGGAGTGTTGTGACCTGACCCCCTCAGAAAAGTGGCCAAAATCCTAAGCTGCTTAGCTTGAGGAGATTTCTAAAAGAAGAGGAATGCAGGGCAGAACTGAATTCAGGAGTGAGTATGGAATCAGGCTGGGAGCGTACAAGGAATCACAGGGAGCATGGAGAAGTTATTTAAGAACCAGACAGCTTTGGCCCAGCCAACCTGTCAACACTCTCCTGTTCTAAGAGTTTAGAAGATCACAGAGGTACACTACTGCTTTTCGGATCATAGCTCAAAACCCATGAGGGATAGAATGAACACTGAAAGTAGAGGCTACATATTTGGGCTCTAGTTCAATCTCTCTATGAGCCTCAAACCTGCAACCAGATTAAAAATTACTGTCCTCCACCCTGTACTATGGTACTAATTCCCAAAGAATTAATGAATATCAAAGCACTCTGTGCATGACAGCTGTTCTAACTCCTGGCACAAGTACCTCCCATCTCTTCACATCTCTGGGCCCCTCTAACTGACAAAGAAAAACATGAATTCTATAATTTTATACTAGTGCTTCCAATGATTCAACTTCATACATTCCTGAAACACATTTTTAACACTTAAACTTGTGTTTGGTACTAGGGGTATTATGGAAGGGAATAATAAATGATCTCTGGTGTCCATCTGATTAACTTTTGTGATTAACTGATTCCAAGTTAGAGGAAAAGAGGGGTGTGTTAGTTATTAGACCCTAAAACTCTAGCAACTTAAAGCCTCCTCCCAAGAGAAGGGAGGAATTCACTTAATACCCTATGCTGGGGACACATTGTGATGGCCTTCTCCAAATCACACACTGACCCAACTGTGTGGTATTTTAAGACTCAACAGATTGGCATGTGACTTTATTATTTCCTAATGATTGCCAAAGAAATATCAAATATGGTCTCTACCTTTGAGGGACCTATAATTTAATTGAGGAAACAGAGATAAAGGAAGGAAAAACTGTAGAGTAGGTGTATTAGTACTTAAAGAGGAATGGAGTGGTGGGGTCAGAGAAAGGAGAGGGCAAACAAAATCAGAGGACACAAAGGAGGTAGGAATTCATTTGGTCTACAGGATAAGGGAGATTGGGACAATGTGAGAATGGCATCGAAGGATACTTCCTATTGGTACAGCAGTATGCCTGGTATCCTAAAGAGGGGTGTGTGTGTGTGTGTGTGTCAATGCATGCATGTGTGTGTGTGTGCACACATGTGTGTTGGATCACAAGACTGAAAATCATATTGACTGGAGCAGGGCTCAGTGTTAGCTTAGAAGAGGGATCAGAACTGGGTTCCCTGGCACATGCCTATAGTTCCAGCTATTGGGGAGATTGAGACAGGAGAATCACAAGTTCAAGGTCAGCCTCGGCACTTTAGTGAGACACTGTCTCAAAATAGCCCAGGGGATATAGTAGTAGAGTACCCCTGGGTTTAATCCCCAGTACTGAAAAACAATCAAGCAAGAATAGGAATCAGAAGTTAAACAGATGTAGAGGCAAGAAATGAGGGCTCTTGGTTCTGGGTTGAAGAGTTCATATCCTAATATAAAAGGAGAGGAACTAGGAACTTTGAGACAGACCAAATTATGGTATATGCATATATGAATATGGCAAAATGAATTCCACTATTATGTATAATTGTAATATACCAAAAATAATGTCACAACCTTCTGAAAGAATTAGTATGACAAGTGTTAGAATTTAGTGCTTGTTCTAAAGTAAGTAGTGGCAGCAATGATTAAAACTATTTAGTACCATCTCATTCACTCAACTCCAGCATCAAAAAACCAGGCCCTGTTTTGTATGTATTACAGGAAGCCCTGAAAGAATAATCAGAATTTGACACTTACCCAGCAAGTGGAGTACAGATGTTGCCACTGCCTTTCCAAGAGCATTGGTGGCTGTGCAAACATAGGTTCCTTCATTTTCAAGGGAAACATTCTGCAACAACAGGGATCCATTGAAAAGCAAGGAAATATTGTCACTCAGAGATCCTCCTCTCTTCAACCAAGTTACATTAGGCTGAGGGACACCTTTGGAACAAAAACAAATATGACAAAGGCAATTCTTTAAGAACAGGGCCGTAGAACCACGTGACAAATACCATCTAGTATTTTGTCTATAAGTGAGCAAATGGGTTTAAAATAAATAAAAGGAAAAATGGCTATTTATACTTTTTATACCTTTTCTTTGGCAAGTTTATGGGAATCCTGTCAAAGCAAAGTGCTGGGTCTGCTGTGCACCTGAAAGGTTTATGTATATGTTAAGGAACAGGAGCCAGAGTGAGAGGCATTGCTCTATAAGGGGAAGGGAAGGAATTTTGAAGTTGGCTGGGACAATGGGAGAGTGATTGCAAAGATGCTGCTGAAGCTGGGGGAATATGGAGGAAGAGCCAAAGAGAGAAATTCCAAGTGGTGAGCTGTCACAAAGAAGCTTTTGGAAAACAAATGCAGGTAGATCTTAAGTCCTTTGCTGTACAGAGACAATGAAACATCCCTCTTTGAGAAACATTATAAAATCTTGAGAGAAACATATTTTTTAAAAATGTTTTTCATTATAGATGGACACAATATCTTTATTAATTAATTTATTTTTATGTGGTGCTGCAGATTAAACCCAGTGCCTCACACATGCTAGGCAAGTGCTCTACCACTGAGCCACAACCCCAGCCCTACAATGGTAATTCTTAAAACACCCATGTCTGCCTGTCCAATATTAACTTCTCCCTGGAGGTCAAGTCTCCCAGATATGAACATTCCCTGAGGGGTCTGAAACTCTGTAAATCCATAGTCAATTCCATCTGTGTCCTCTAACGCCATGCTTGTTCCCTTTTATCATCACAGTGCCCCATTTACTCCAGTCATCCTGTCTCACACCCATTCTTGGCCCTCACCTACTTTTCATTCTCCATGTCTAATTTGCCATAAAGTTAAAAAAAGAAATAATTTCTGAAAGCTGTCTTGGACTTTTCCCTTTTCTCTATTTTTAATAGTCAGTGCTGGAGCATTGAGCATAGTTCTCATCTTGATGAAACAACTTTTTACTGAGTTCCCTATGTCCAAACTATCCTCATACAAGGCCAGCAGGAATAAGGTGCTTAGAGACCTCTGCTGGCCCCGGCTGCCCATAGATGCATGGAGCCTGATATTCCCTGTTCTGCACCCCTTAGCTCTAACTCCAACCAACTGCCATGTCCCTCCTGCCACAGAGCTCACAGTATAGTTAAGTCACTGCTGTCAACAAGCATGCCCAGCCTGACATCTATCTTTGGCTCTGATTTCTCAGTTTGTGACTCTCCTATTTGTGGCTGTATTTATACCTTGTGGGAAGTCCCCTGAGATACTCAGTTGGTTAAATACCCCTTGTGAGTCTTGCACTTGCTCACATTGACACAACTACATTTATAACATTATGTCATGACCAGCATAGGATACCATCTTTCTGGAAGTTGTCTGTTGGGCATGCTCAGTAAAAGTTTGTTGAACTACAAGTGCTCTCAGCCCTACGGAGGATCTGCCTGTCCTGGGGTTCACCTGCTGTCCAGGCCTCAGGAAATGTTCTGCTACATTTACATTCCTGGCTGGTTAAGGTGTTGTGATAAATCAAAGCAAGAATCCCAAGTGAAGGATGTCATCAAAAAGTATCCAGTCCTTCAAGTTTGCTCTGCTCTGGCAACTGCAGCCCAGAGTTGCCTGACTCTGCTGGCTTCCCCTGGCTTAAGAGGGACCTCCAAATCTTCTCTGGAGCTCAGCTCACCAGATGCCTTAGCCCCATGTAACTACATATATGGGACTGGTTCCTATGTCAGGAACCCGTTCTCTTTAGGCACCCCCATTCAATAGTTTCGAAATGCAGAGCTAGGTTGGTGAAGATTGTCATGTGATCACTGTACTCCAGGAGCCTGGCTTTCATCTCAGTAGACCTTAATGGTCAACAGAATTGAAAACAAAAAACCAAAACTCCTCAAAATGATTTTTAATGGGTCCATTTTGTTCCTGAGTTATTCTGATGCTCTATTACTTTCTAGTTGCTTTATATCCCCCATGTCTTTCCTCACATCACTGAGCAATAGAGACAACATAAAGTCTGCTTAGACCACCCACTCACTCCCAAGCTCCTGACATTTCTAAGTAATCAAGCATTCATCCATCCAGCAAATATTTTGTGGTCACTGAGTGTCAGCACTGTTTTAGGTGCTTGGATCATAGCTTTTCCGGAATGCTGAATATCAGCTTTTCCCGCTGCTTGGCTTTCAGGAGAATAAGAGAGAATGAGATTCCTCTCTGGAATCTGGTTCCTTCTCCAGCAATCTAATAAGACAACCTAAGAGCCTCTGACTTGGTTCAAAGCCCCAGGCAAAAATCAGCCAGATTCACCTCCGGAGTCCCAGAGCAATGTTGTGTACACAGGAGGCTTATTAAAGTAAATTGAGTAGAACAAATCAAAGGTCAGGGAAGTTGTTTTGAGCTATATAATTACAGCTGTTTTCTAAAGAAGGTGAGACCTTTCCCTTCAGAACATCTTGGAAGATTTGGAAGCATGTCTTTGCAGGCAAGAGCTGCACACAGGGAGAAAAGTATGTGGGATTCCTATAGCTATCTGAGGGATCAGAGGTGGAGGCGAGAAGGATTGAGAGCAGGAAAAGCCTAGGTGATTGGATACCTTTGCCATGATCTCTGAATTTTCACACTTGCTTAATTTCCAAATGCTGGCTTGTTATTAATGATGTTTTACTATGAATGGAAACCAGTCAAGGAGCTGAGTTCTGTTTCCGGATCGATGAAGGGCAAAAGAGAGCTAGGACCATTTAATGCAAGAGCCAAGGACAAGAGGGCTCAGGCCAGGGCAACCCCAGAGAACTGTCAGGAGTCAGGTCCAGAAGGCTCTGGAATGTGCAAAATCTGGAACTGACAGGGGTCAGAGGCAATCACACATGAATGTAAGGCAGCGTGGGAAGGAGACTGAGCTTGCACAGTTAGTGATATTTTGCATATACTTGGAATTTCAGAAATCAAAACAGAACATGGCAAGGTTTTAATGCAAAAGGGACACAAAAGTCCCAATACTGAAAGGAGAAGCAGACCCTGGGACCCAACACAGAGAAGCATCATTACATGTGTGACCACTGTCAAAGAATTGACAAGGCCAAAGGAAAGTCAGACAAGATTCTTCGTACTACTGCTCTTCGACATCTTTTAAAACTACAAATGTTTACTCTGTTGAAACAGCTATAAAATGTCAGAAGTAGTTTAAAGTTGTTTATCTAACCTCAAAGACAGGCTGTTTCCTGCAAGACTTATAGCTCTGAAATATTCAGCGTTCTGTTTTCACAATGCTGAAATCGTTTTTGGAAAGCAAATGTTATGGAAAAAAGCATCAGATCCGGAGGGGCCATGAAACATGTGCTGCAAAAAGTCTGCACCTCTAGGGTGTCTTTAAAATAGTCAGTGTTTAAAAACAAATTTCCTTCATCCTTGAAAGCCTATGAAATATTCCACACTATAAAATCCTTGGCCTATTCAGACTATTTTAAAATGCTGGATCTCTATATAAATATATATTATTCCTATATGTTCTTGTTCATTTGTTTGTTTCCTCCAGCTTCTCAACACTCAGACAATATTCTGCATTTCTCCCCACATACAAAAGACTGAAGTTACCATTAATTACCTCCAGGGAATCATGAAGAAATGATGTGGCCAATTTATAAGATAAGCAGCAAATTGAACACAATGTAGGCAACACTAAGGGAGCTGTCACTAATAAATGAGATAAACAAATAAGAGTTCAAGTTTCCAGTGTCAGAGAAAATTATCTTGAAGCTATTAGGATAAATACATGATGTGAACATACTTAATATATAAAGATAAGAAAAATGGTGCTCTATATGTGTAATAAGAATTATAATGCATTTCACTGTCATGTATTTAAAAAATAAAATCAATAAAAAATATTTAAAAAAGAAATACAAATGACCATAAAAAAGAATGTACTCTTCTCAGGCACAATTGTGCATGCCTGTAATCCCAGTGGCTTGGGAGGTTGAGGCAGGAGAATTGGAAATTCAGGGCCAGCCTGGGTAACTTGGTGAGTCCTTAAGCAAAATAAAAAACAAAAAAGGCTGGGGACATGGCTCAGTGGTAGAGCACCTTTGGGTTCAATCCCCAGGAACATAAAAAACAATAAAAAATAATGTATTCTTCAACTACAAGGTCAATCTGCACCACATAGGCAATTTCATAAGGAAGGTTCTTCTTTTGAGTTACCTGCATTACCTTTTGTCCTTTCTTGGCAATATATCATCTATGCTTTTTTGATATGAAGGCTGTTCATCAGTGATGCCATATCCAGAAGTCTCTCTGACTACAAGGCTATGGTTTTTTGCCATCTAGAGAATTCTCTCCAATACTTGTTGAAATACTTTTCCTTCTTTAGTAAAATGATGTTATCAGGTTGATATAATTAGTTCCCCAAGCATTTTGATTTGGGGATTTAGAACTCTTTGGGGTCACAGCATCCATTCCAACTTCATAATTAAAAGTCCTGCCTTCTGACATGGAGGAAGGCTGGTCAAGTCCTTTCCCAAGTCTGGTCATCTCTGACCTCTCAGGTATCCTGAGCTTCTGCTTAACTTGAGACTGGGTAGTTCTCCCTAACTCTGCCAATTGTATCCCATGAGCACTACATGTTCAATTCTGGATATTGTCTTCTGGGGTCTCATTTATAGGTTAGAAAGTATCCATGAAAATTATTTCATAAATTGTCTAAAAACCATTTTTTTTGGTTCTTTGAGGAATGATTCAAAGTCAAGGTGTTGTAAGTCAAGCATAATAATACACATTGGAGCTATGTAAGTGTTGTAAAACATTGGTTCTAGTACAGAACAGGAGGAAAATGGCTAGACAGTAGCTCAAAAGGGGAGAAGCTGGGCAATGCTGAGGCTCTTCCTGATAAACAGCAATTTTGGTAATCCATCACTCTAACACTAGAACATGGATGAACAAATAGCCTTTATCCTTACTGAATAGCTGCA